TTGCTGCAGTGCGCTCACAGCACACTGAAGCTAACGAGTCATCAGATGAGTTCATACTGGCTCGTGAAACGGTAGTCCGTTTTGTGCAAGACTCCATCGCCGAAGCGGTGGATAAGCAAAAGCAAAACGCTGACAAGAATGGAAGGGCAAACACTCTTTTATTCAATGAAGGTGACTTAGTCCTACTGTCTACGGTTAATCTACCAAAGCATGTAGTGACTAACTTGGGTAGCAGTAAACTACTACCCAAGTACATTGGCCCATTTCGTGTATTGCACCGCCTAGGCAATGCATACACGATCGAGTTACCACGTAAGATGCGAACGCATCCCACGTTTTACGTTGGTCGGCTTAAGCCGTACCATCAGTACGCTGCTTCTTCCGATGAAGAACGCCCTTGCGCTCAAGCATCTCGCAGAGAGCCTTGTGCTCCCGATGGTGGGCATCAACAAGGGTCTGAAGAGCAGTTATCTCAGCCCGAGACCGATCAACAATCCCACGAGCTACCCTTAGCTCGTCACGAAGAGATGTCAGAGATCTCTCGTTCTCAAGCTGAGCAAAGGCAAACTCAGCTCGATGCTTCGAGGCAGTGTCCGCCATTTGGAGACGCCTATTCCGCTCATGCTCGAGATCGTCGCGTAACCCTTGCGTTACGCGATCAAAGAAGCTCTCGGGAACACACCGATCCACATGATCGTGTGGAGAGCGTCTTTCCTCCTCCTCCACCTCCATTAGAGGACTCTCGCGGTGGCCAGCGCTATCTAGTTGAGCAGCTGTTGAACCACCGCGACGTGAACGGACGTCGGACGAGTTACCTCGTCCGGTGGCGCGGCTATCCCCCGTCCTGGGATTCTTGGGAGCCCCGCTCCCAATTGATGGTTGACGTACTGGGTCTGGTCGAGCAGTACGACGCGACACATCCTGTGCCGCAGAAGGACCGCCGGAGAAAGTCTTCCCGGCACGGTCGTAAAGGGATTTCAGGTTGTCAATCCCTTCGTACATCTCAGTAGAGACACGTACGCGCCACCACGGGCTGGTAAGGAGGTAAGCCTCCTTAGGTGCTCGTGCAGAGTTGTTCACACAACATGGGCACGAGTCTCCCCAAGAGAGGCAGGGTAATCCTTTCTTCCTTGACAGACGATGCAGCTTGTAGCGTGCACCTGTCGGGGTTCGCTTTTCAAACTTATCACGAGCTTTGATAAGTTTGTCGTTCCAAGCGTCACGACCTACATCCTCGAGATTATGGATGTAGGCGTTCCACGCCTGAAGTAGTGAGGGACCATCACGTTTGTGATTCCCACTGTACCATCGATGTCTGAAGAAAGCATCGATGAAGAACTCATGTTCAGCGCGATAGTCTTTCGCGCTGGGGTCAAGGTGATGAATCTCTGACGAATCGAACAATCGTGTTCGATAACGATCACTCGTCGTCGCCGACAAGTGATCCATGACGGATTTAGGAGGCATCCATGCCTTCTTTTCTGGAGCGAGACGCAACACATTGCGGTCCCGCTCTTCCTGCGACGTGCCGACAGAAGTACTGGCACCTCGCTGCGAAGTGGTGTCCATTGGAGAACCGACACCACTATTAGCGCCCGAGTCTCGCGACCTCGAGCGCCTTCGCTTCGGCGATGGTTCATCTGACTCATCAGATGAACCAAAGATGCTGCGACGCAAAGCATCGTCCATGCCACGCTTGGCAGGCGGCTTAGATTCAATCGCCGTCGATACGGATCCGTCATCCGTATCAGGAGAGTACGAGACACCGAGCTCGTACTCTGTGAAGACACGAGTGTCTTCATGACCAGCGCCTGCGTCACCAAGTGACACAGGCTGGGTCTCTTCAGCAACCGATGGGACATCAGTTGCTGTTGTCTCTGCTTCGGCGTCCGCACAGAGACGTGCAGACGCGCTCTCGGCGGCCTTGCTCGCGCATCGCATGGGCTTGTTTACCATGCGATGAGATGTTGGAAAGTGGACGCGGACCAACAAGTGCAAACCCCGTCCCAAATGATTTGGGACGAGTATCCATTTAGTCAATCAGTCACTAAAGTGACTGATGGTTAAGGGGGGGGTGATGTAACGGGGTGAATCGTTACATAACAATTTATAAGAAATTGTTAATAGAATATAACTATAAGAGTTATATTCTCAGAATATTGTCATAAGGACAAATATTCTGTAGCACTTACAAGTAGTTCCTAATTGGTTGATATAGGCCATTATATCAACCAACGAAGACGCGCCACGACAGACGCACGCAATGAGTGGTGAGCAGATAACTGATTTACACATTTGTATTCAGACATAGTTAGATGAAGATAAATAGTGATTTATTGCAGACATTAACTACTATAAATACAGTTCTACTTTTTACTTTAACCAAGTACTCGCTTCTTCTTACCGTCTTCCTCTGCACGTACGAGTGTACGTGAAGTTACGAGGCACCGCCTTATTCTGTTATCAGAATAAGTAGCTTGTACTGTCACCAGTACAAGCTTCAGGGTGCCCCGTTACACGCCTGGTGCAGAGGCGTAAAAGTAGCGGCAGTAGTGAGTCCAAACGTTGCGAGTTGATTATTTGCTTACATACGCTTGATCGTCAAGGCAGGTAGCTGTTTTTGTTTCGCAAAAAGTAGTTTGATCAGGAAGTTTACAATCAGGGGCGTGAGAGTTGCAGGTGTCGAGCGATGGTAGCACAAATCCTGCTGGCATTTTGTCGGCGCCTGCTATGAATTTATACAGCGGCCAAAATCCCTTAGCGGACACTTCAGGTAGTTTTCTATGATCCAAACTTTGTCGCTGAGCTGACATTCACATCCAAGGCCCCAACGATTGATAGCTAAGGACGCGCTCGATTCTCGATGATCTGAAGAGGAAGCGTGTCGCTCTTGCAGTCGCAGCAAAAGACAGATACAACGATCTACTTTTTTTTACTCTTTGTTGGTTACTCCTTCGTACCGTGGATGCCCCAGCCTAATACCCAAAACGACTTCCATTTGGAAAGTGCACATCAAACAAAACATTTTTGGAGTAGCCCTTACTTGCATTCAAACGAAGACTAGTCTCAAGCATCTCTTCAGTTGTAACGGGGCACCCTCAAGCTTGTACTGATGACAGTACAAGCTACTTATTCTGATAACAGAATAAGGCGGTGCCTCGTAACTTCACGTACACTCGTACGTGCAGAGGAAGACGGTAAGAAGAAGCGAGTACTTGGTTAGAGTAAAAAGTAGAACTGTATTTATAATAGTTAATGTCTGCAATAAATCACTATTTATCTTCATCTAACTATGTCTAAATACAAATGTGTAAATCAACTATCTGCTCACCACTCATTGCGTGCGTTTGTCGTGGCGCGTCTTCGTTGGTTGATATAATGACCTATATCAACCAATTAGGAACTACTCGTAAGTGCTACAAAAATATTTGTCCTTATGACAATATTCTGAGAATATAACTCTCATAGTTATATTCTATTAACAATTTCTTATAAATTGTTATGTAACGATTCACCCCGTTACATCACCCCCCCCTTAACCATCAGTCACTTTACTGACTGATTGACTAAATGGATACTCGTCCCAAATCATTTGGGACAGGGTTTGCACTTGTTGGTCCGCGTCCACTTTCCAACATTTCATCGCATGGTAAACAAGCCCATGCGATGCGCGAGCGAGGCCGCCGAGAGCGCGTCTGCACGTCTCTGTGCGGACGCCGAAGCAGAAACTACAGCAACTGATGTCCCATCGGTTGCTGAATCGACTCAGCCTGTATCACCTGGTGATGCAGGCGCTGGTCATGAAGACACTCGTGTCTTCACAGAGTACGAGCTCGGTGTCTCGTACTCTCCTGATACGGATGACGGATCCGTATCGACGGCGATTGAATCTAAGCCGCCTGCCAAGCGTGGCATGGACGATGCTTTGCGTCGCAGCATCTTTGGTTCATCTGATGAGTCAGATGAACCATCGCCGAAGCGAAGGCGCTCGAGGTCGCGAGACTCGGGCGCTAACAGTGGTGTCGGTTCTCCTATGGACACCACTTCGCAACGAGGTGCCAGTACTTCTGTCGGCACATCGCAGGAAGAGCGGGACCGCAATGTGTTGCGTCTCGCTCCCGAGAAGAAGGCATGGATGCCTCCTAAATCTGTCATGGATCACTTGTCGGCGACGACGAGTGATCGTTATCGAACACGATTGTTCGATTCGTCAAGGATCCATCACCTTGACCCCAGCGCGAAAGACTATCGCGCTGAACATGAGTTCTTCATCGATGCTTTCTTCAGACATCGATGGTACAGTGGGAATCACAAACGTGATGGTCCCTCACTACTTCAGGCGTGGAACGCCTACATCCATAACCTCGAGGATGTAGGTCGTGACGCTTGGAACGACAAACTTATCAAAGCTCGTGATAAGTTTGAAAAGCGAACCCCGACAGGTGCACGCTACAAGCTGCATCGTCTGTCAAGGGAGAAAGGATTACCCTGCCTCTCTTGGGGAGACTCGTGCCCATGTTGTGTGAACAACTCTGCACGAGCACCTAAGGAGGCTTACCTCCTTACCAGCCCGTGGTGGCGCGTACGTGTCTCTACTGAGATGTACGAAGGGATTGACAACCTGAAATCCCTTTACGACCGTGCCGGGAAGACTTTCTCCGGCGGTCCTTCTGCGGCACAGGATGTGCCGCGTCGTACTGCTCAACCAGACCCAGTACGTCAACCATCAATTGGGAGCGGGGCTCCCAAGAATCCCAGGACGGGGGATAGCCGCGCCACCGGACGAGATAACTCGTCCGACGTCCGTTCACGTCGCGGTGGTTCAACAGCTGCTCAACTAGATAGCGCTGGCCACCGCGAGAGTCCTCTAATGGAGGTGGAGGAGGAGGAAAGACGCTCTCCACACGATCATGTGGATCGGTGTGTTCCCGAGAGCTTTTGATCGCGTAACGCAAGGGTTACGCGACGATCTCGAGCATGAGCGAAATAGGCGTCTCCAAATGGCGGACACTGCCTCGAAGCATCGAGCTGAGTTTGCCTTTGCTCAGCTTGAGAACGAGAGATCTCTGACATCTCTTCGTGACGAGCTAAGGGTAGCTCGTGGGATTGTTGATCGGTCTCGGGCTGAGATAACTGCTCTTCAGACCCTTGTTGATGCCCACCATCGGGAGCACAAGGCTCTCTGCGAGATGCTTGAGCGCAATGGCGTTCTTCATCGGAAGAAGCAGCGTACTGATGGTACGGCTTAAGCCGACCAACGTAAAACGTGGGATGCGTTCGCATCTTACGTGGTAACTCGATCGTGTATGCATTGCCTAGGCGGTGCAATACACGAAAAGGGCCAATGTACTTGGGTAGTAGTTTACTGCTACCCAAGTTAGTCACTACATGCTTTGGTAGATTAACCGTAGACAGTAGGACTAAGTCACCTTCATTGAATAAAAGAGTGTTTGCCCTTCCATTCTTGTCAGCGTTTTGCTTTTGCTTATCCACCGCTTCGGCGATGGAGTCTTGCACAAAACGGACTACCGTTTCACGAGCCAGTATGAACTCATCTGATGACTCGTTAGCTTCAGTGTGCTGTGAGCGCACTGCAGCAACAACAACCTTTTCTTCAGTGAGGGCTTCCGCACTCTCACTGGGATCATTGTCTTCAGTGAGGGCTTCCGCACTCTCACTGGCATCATCTTCTTCGATATCGATGTTATCGATATCGGCATCAAACGCAATGACTTCTTCGTCAGAGCGTGATGAGCGTGAACCAAATCGGTTTTTGCTCGCGCGAGTCCCTCCCCCCCTTAAACCAGAGTTACACTCTAGTAAGGTGGGTACACGCGGATGGCGCAAGCCATTCACGTAAAACGGTGTATGTGTCGTGGACGCATGCACCGAGTTGTTGATGGCAAACTCTACCATCGGCAAAAACTCACTCCAACTTTTAAATGAGTGTACGTATCCTCGAAGTATCTCTTCAAGGACACGATTGGCACGTTCCGTCTGACCATCTGACTCTGGATGATCAGATGTTGACATCTTCAAGCGCGTTCCGAGTGATTTGAACACGGAACGCCAGAAATCAGCAGTGAATCGTGGATCTCTGTCTGATACGAGTTCACGGGCAACCCATGAAGTCGGAAGATGGTGTCAATAAAGACACAAGCACAGCCACTTGCCGTGATTGTCTCTGGTACAGCCACAAGGTGCACCATTTTGCTGAATCTGTCAACAAATACGAGAATACCCGTATTCCCGCGTGCGTCTTTGGGTAACCCGAAGACGAAATCCATTGAGATGGATTCCCAGCACTCAGCCGGAACTGGTAGAGGCTGTAAAGGTGCACGCAGTGAAGGACTTGACTTCACTCGTTGGCAGACTTCGCATGCGCGAACATACTTTCGCACAAACTGATACTGGCGGGGCCAGTAAAAGTCTCGACTTACCGTGAGATATGTTTTCTCTCGGCCACGATGTCCTCCTATAGGAGTATCGTGATACTCGAACATGATCCGCAAACGCAGATCAGTATCATCTGGAATGACAACACGTGGTGTGTCACCAGAAACGGCTGTATAGTACAGTAAACCGTTACGAGTAGTGTATCGATCTGATGCAGATCGATACGCAGACGACAATCGTTTCAACGATTCTCGAGATGGTTGGGAGAGATGTGACAACAACTTCACTATCTCACCATCTTGGGCGTATGCCCGCCTCACATCATCATACAACGTTGTAGATGGAACTGAGGACGTCATAACCGCAACAGTGACTGTCTCACTGTTGGGTTTCGCGACTGTTTCAAAGTCGGGACGACGTGAGAGTGCATCAGCGACGACATTAAGTCGTCCTGGTTTGTACTCGACCGTAAAGTTGTATTCTGCAAAGAATGACAACCACCGCGCCATTCGTTGTGAAAGGTGCGGGCTGTTCACTGCCGTGCGTAAGGACGCATGGTCAGTGTAAACAACGAAGGGTCTATCTCCTAATAGATAGACTCTGAACTTCGCGAGCGCATACTTCATGGCAAGGAGTTCCTTGTCATGCACTGGATAGTTCCGCTCAGCTGGTTGCAGCTGACGCGACTGATAGCAGACGACGCGTTCAACGCCTTCAAGGTCGTACTGCATTAATGCACAGCCGATTGCGAAATCGCTGGCATCACAGACCACATGAAATGGCCTGTCCGGATCGGCTATTGCTAGGACTGGGGATTGTATCAAGCTCTGCTTGATACCCTCAAAGGAGCGTTGACATTCAGCGTTCCATAACCACCTCTCGTTCTTTTTCAACAAACGAGAGAGGTGTACAGTTATCTCGGCGTAATTGCGTGAATACTTATGCAAATACGCCGCTAGCCCAAGGAATTTTCGAAGACCTTTGACATCGACCGGCACGGGCCAGTCGGTGATCGCCTTGATCTTTTTGGGATCAGGACGTACACCGTTCTTACCAACGATGCACCCAAGAAGTGGTATTTCGCTTGCTGCAAATATACACTTCTTGAGGTTTGCATACAATTGATGCTTTCGCATGATTGTAAGAACCTGTCGGACGTGGTACCTGTGAACCTCAACGTCCGACTTTCCATCCATAGCTCGACTATGGATGAATACGTCATCGAAATAACTCGGCGCGAATTCTCGTACTGGCCTCAACAGATGTGATACACACCTGTTGAACGTGGCAGGGGCATTACTGAGCCCTTGTGGCATTACTAGCCATTCCCAGAGCATGCCGCTAGGCGTGCTAACTGCGGTATAGGGTATATCCCGTTCCCGCATTAGGATTTGATAGAAGCCATCCATCAAATCCATGGACGAAAAGATGGTACTCTTTGACATACCATCAATGATTACGTCCTTCCTCGGTATCGGCGTCTGAGCCGGTACCGTTGCAGCGTTCAATTTGTTAAACGCGTGCACTATCCGCCACCCTCCTGTTGCTTTTCGCACACAGAAGGTCGGAGAGCTATGTGGGGAAGTTGATTCCCTCACATGGCCCGCTGCTAAACGATCGGCAAAGAACTTGTCGATCGCAAGTACTTGTTCACGAGGCAGTGGCCACTGCTTCATGACACAGTACTTCGAGCCTGGTTTAAGCTCGACTTCGTGTCGAATACCTTTATCCTTCGGTAATTCGCACGGAACAGTTTCAGGGAATACATCCTTGAATTCAACCAAATCTTCATAGAGAGGATTTTCCTTGAGCGATTCCCATGATTGGGACTCATATCGCTCAATTCGTGTCTTTTCATCTAGGACACTCTCGTCCATAGATGAACTACTGAGAACTCTCTCGTTCTCAGTAAACACTGTTGCTGACCTTATGTCGGTTACATACTCGTCGTCAGCGACGAGTATGCAGATCTGCTTGACTTTGCCACTACGCAGATCACGCAAGAACCTTTTATGTTCGAGCGTTGGCAACTGAGTGATCTCCGAAGTTAACTTCGGAGGCGCAATCAGATCAAGTGTATAAGCGCCTACACATGATCCGTTATTGACTATGACATTCATTGTCTCTGTCATTTCCTGGGGACTTATTCCCTCAGGCTTCGAAGGACTTATTCCTTCGTCTTCCCGGGGACTTATTCCCGCGGGTTTCGGGGAACTTATTTCCGCCGTATTTGTAATCTTGGGACTTATTCCCTTTACTTCCTCTAGCTGGGGTTGCGCAACCACAGCGAGATCCTCTACGAAAGACTCTCCAGTCGATCTAGGATTATCGTTTCGCTTAACCTGAGCGATCGATTGTTTCTCTTCTAGATGTTCCCCTCTAGGGATACATCTTTGTCCCAGTCCACCCGACTTATTCGAGTGGTGGACCTTCGGCGCAGCCTGTGTTTCCTCACAGCCGCCGGTACTTTGCTCCGAAGTGTAACCGTTTGGTACACTAAGGTTTTGTGCAGTCGTACTAACGACCGTACCACAAGTGATGCCATCGCACTCACTCGTAGTACATCCACACGCTTGTGGACGCTCCAAAACGTTCATCAGATGGCCATCTGATGAACAAGCGGCAGGCATCGTTACTGTCCGATGTTGCCAGTTTACCCGTGGTTCGTACCTTCTGAGCCACGGTATTCCAAGGATGACATCAAATTTGTCATCCAAATCCAATACGATAAAGTCATCGTCGTATTGGGTATCTTCTAGCGTATAGTGAATCTTCACTATACGCTTCATGACGGTTACGGATGCGCCTGTCGCAAGACGTACCGTCATCCTCGTAGGAGGTGTGTCACATTCACTGAATTTAAAGTGACCATCTTCTAGCGATTGGCGTCGCACAAAATTGTTGGACGCCCCACAATCGACTAGAGCTCGAAGGGACAACTTGTTCGTCACTTCGAGTTTCAAGGTAATGAGTGAGATCTCATTACCTAGAGCAGCAACGCACAACGTCTGTGTGTTGGGAGCAACCTTCATCAAGAGGCCTACAAATTCTCTTGACGTTGCTGGATCAGTAGGGTGCTCCGCACCTACTGATCCTGTCCGTTTTTTGACGGTCCATCCCGTTGTTGCGTCTTTGCACCAACTGCGGACCCTCGTCCCTGCCCCTTTCTCATGGGTGGACGGTCACTACGCCCAGTGTCGCGAGACACTGGACGAGGGGCACTACACTCGTAAGCGTAGTGTCCTGTCTTCTGACATCTGTTGCATCTCTGCAACTTCTTGTAGCCTGTAGAGCGAACCTTCTCGCTCTCTACATAACAGAGTTCCATCGGCTCTGGACCTCCGTTGTCATATCGTCTCGGTTGACGATATGATGTCGAGCTGGCGCGAGCCTGTCTCAGACTGAAGTCTTCCTGCTCCGCAATGGAAATGGCTTGTTCTAGTGAATCTAGTTCAAGCCGGAACAGGTGAGTCTTGACGGGACCATCCGCAAGACCCTGCATGAACACCGAAACCAACGTGTGTTCATCCACCGGATTGGAACTTATACAACTCGTGAGATGTCGTATATGTTGAGCGTAAGCGTGCACATCACGCTTACCCTGCTTGAGCTTCAAGAGTTCGGTTCGAGCTCTGAACTCAGCTCTAGGCGGTTCAAACGTTTGTCTGAGCCGCGACTTGAAGACTTTCAACGACCCAAACGCATATGGGTCGTGCAGCTTGAGCCCCAGTGCCCAAGTCTTGGCACGTCCTGCCAGATTTGACTGGGCAAATGCAACTTGCATATCCCCGTCGTCGATGCGACGCGCCCTTATGGCGTCATCCAATTCGACGAACCATCTCAAGAGGGATTCCTCTTCGACCCCCCTATACTTTGAGATGTCAATCTTCAAAGTCTCGGGTCGACGCGAGTGCATCGACCCGCCAGCAGCAGCCTGCTGCTGTCTCAACAGTTCAAACTGTTGAGCACCTTGTTCTCTCAACAACTCTGCTTGTTGAGAACCTTGTTGGTGAAGCAAGGCTACTTTCTCGCGTTCAGCGTCAAGTTCATTTTGAATGAACTTGGCGATAGTAGCATGTTGGGCATCTCTATTGAGAGCCTCTAGCATGACGCTAACAGCATGGATGCCCATGGTCGAACCCATTCGTTCAACCGCATCCCATTCGACATCGCTCAAATGGGAGTAGCCGTCACGCGTAGCGTGAGAGCTTTGGTCATCTTCATCATCCAACATATTCATGTTGGATGTGAACGCGGTCCTTGGACGGACTACGAAGTGCTACCAGGTGTAACGGGGCACCCTCAAGCTTGTACTGATGACAGTACAAGCTACTTATTCTGATAACAGAATAAGGCGGTGCCTCGTAACTTCACGTACACTCGTACGTGCAGAGGAAGACGGTAAGAAGAAGCGAGTACTTGGTTAGAGTAAAAAGTAGAACTGTATTTATAGTAGTTAATGTCTGCAATAAATCACTATTTATCTTCATCTAACTATGTCTAAATACAAATGTGTAAATCAGTTATCTGCTCACCACTCATTGCGTGCGTCTGTCGTGGCGCGTCTTCGTTGGTTGATATAATGGCCTATATCAACCAATTAGGAACTACTTGTAAGTGCTACAGAATATTTGTCCTTATGACAATATTCTGAGAATATAACTCTTATAGTTATATTCTATTAACAATTTCTTATAAATTGTTATGTAACGATTCACCCCGTTACATCAGTCGCATCTGCGCACGAATGAAAGTTGCTTCAAGATGTTGTGGTAACATCACTGTCGCTCTTTCGAATGCAACGCAAGAAACGAATGCGAGGCTGCTTTTGAACGATTCCGGCCAGCCATGTGGGAACATGGCCGGTCCATCAGCAGGGTAGAGTAGTTTGAGGATCTACCCGGCAATAACTTTAACGCGCATTGCTGGTCATACTGACATGCTCTAGATATCCGTCAAACCCTTTCATCATTTGGTCTTTGTTTGGCTGCCTGCTGACATTTGCTGGCATTGTCTGCCTCCTACTCTCTTGCCAGCTCAATTTTGACTCATCTAAAGTGAATTTGTGATATCGCTACCGGAATGTGTCATTCTTGAAGCCATTTTAACAAGTATTGGGCCTGAGAGTGTGGTCGTGATGAAGGGCGATGCCGATGCAATCCGTCATCAAAACGAGCTTTGCTTTAAGTAAAGCTCTTAATGTGTTTTTACAGGTCGGAACGTGTGCTGATCAGAGTTTCAAATTGGGCGCCCACACCCACGCCAACGTCCGCGACCACCCACGCCTATTGTTTTTATGGGTATGGGTGCAACGGACAATTCGTGGGTGGGCGCGACGCCGCAAGCCTAATTTTTATTTAGCACTATAGTTTGTTATAACTTTATTTATTACAGTGTAAGAGGCTTGTTGGGCAGTATAAATCGGTTGATAAATTGGGTAAAGAATTTGGGAGGGCGTGGGTGGGCTCTGCCCACCCGCCCACAGTTTGTAGCCTGTGTGTGGGTGCGGTAAGCGTCGATTTGGAACTCTGCTGCTGATGCTTTTTTTTATCTCTGAATAATTTCACGAATAGTATTTTATCAAAAAAGAGAGAGTGGATCCCGTGTGGATGAATTTAAATTGTCTCGACCGTAATTCGTAGCATGTAATGTTCGATTCTCGCCGCCGTAGCTGCCTTTGTTTTCACATGTTGAAGTGGTGCCCACACTTGAACTCTCACACAATCCTACACACTGGGACAATAACACTCTAAGTACCCAAAAAAAAAGTCGATCGCGAAAATGATCCGCGAAATGTGGCGCATCGAGTTGGGCGTAGGCGTCGGGCCTTTCCGCCTTGGAGCTAGCATCGCTGAGGTGCTGCACGCACTAAAAAGCCGCCTTCCTGTCCGTCCTTTTGAGATCTCATATGATGCTGTGGCTCCCTACAAACGCGACGTAGTCGTCGATTCTGCCGAAGACGGATTTCGAGTTAGGAAGCTTTTGCTTTCTTATTGTGGTGTATACTTACTTAACTATACACCCTTTTTTTTGCTATCGCTTAATAATATGTACAGCTGCACTTCGACTCTGTGCGACAGATACTCAAATTGATTGAATTTTACGATGTGAATCGCGTGGCCCTGAAATTCGGCCGCGTTGTGATTTTTGGCGGGGACATCGCTGCCACCTTCATGTCTGTCTACAATGTACGTAGATCGTGTATTCCTGTCATGCGGTCAATAGTCGTGCCCTAACTCTTATGTGTACGATACATCACATGCTGCAGTTGTTCGGGCCGACGTTCCCAGGCCACTACGAAGCTGCTGGGCAGGTTGGATTCTCTTCGTGGTGCCCTCTATTTTGTGCTATCCCTTACGCGTTATTCCGAATTACTTTCTCGTAAACCGTGACCTGCAGAGCTACATTTTGGGCTACGAAGGTGGCTGTGTTAAATTTCCGATCCCAACAGAGTTTCGCGATTTATACCAGAACGGCACTGACTTACCGATCGAGTTTCCGGTGCGGAAGTCAGCATCATTTGTTTTGGTTATTTGGAATTCACTCATCGCGGATCGTGTGTGTGTCTAAGAACGGTGCCACGCCAGCAGCTACCGGACTCATGGTGTTTGTGGGTGGAGATTATCGGTCGCCTGGACTCCCAGCTCCAACGAAAAAGTACGATTCGTGGATCCTGCGTCCAGCACGATGGAACCTAGGGCTTACTGTGCTTGCTACATTAGGCACTATTTTGAAGAAATCGAGGTCGAGGTTAGCGAAGAGAACACATCGCTCTATTTTACTGGCCGAAAGCAGCGTATTCAGCTCGGGTGGTCGCCTCAGGTTCTACAGCCGATGCCACGCTTGTCATGTTTACCACATACATTTACTATCTGTTGCATGGCAGGAGGTGATAAGCGAGCTTGGTGCCCCGGTGTCTGTCTTTCGAAAAGCAGAAGACCCAGATGACGGGTATGTTTTGTTCTGCCTATTGTGTGTATGTAGTGAGTGCTAAGTTTACTTCGATTTCATGGGCTGGTAGATCGACTATCGCTGGTGGTCTAGTCAGTGACTACTTCCACAACTACCCTCACTTAGGACTGGACGTTCTGTACGACTCGATGCATCGCGCGTCGAAAGTGATACTAAAGACCAACGCGCTGGGGTAAGACATCTGTAAATTCCATTTGCTGACCTTGTGCGACTCATTCATCTCATCGTGGTCGTCTCGATGGTCACAACAGGCACCCCGACTTTGGCGCCTACAACAAGTGCAACTTCAGGCTCAGCGTAGAGTCCCTTACTCTACTCCAGAATTCTGGGTTTTCAAAACCTACTAGCTTGGCAATCACACCTCAAACACCGGTATGCCACTTATGATTGCTCCGGAGAGATCAGGGCGTGTCTTAACAAAAGCTGTATTGCGCATGTAGTGGAAGGATATCCGCTTGATGTTCGGAGAGGAATCGGACCTGCGGCCTATCATTCACGACAACGGTTTGGGTCTTCACCCGTTTGGTTCGACCTTGTGTTACTCACCGGCACCAGGATGCATCTTCGAGGTGATGAGGAACGGTCTCATCGCGAGCGTTACAGTCACATCTCCAAGCTAGGTACCAGTACTGCTTGTACGCTGGATCCATCAACTGAGGTTGTAAAGAGTGCTGACTGTATCCATGAAGCATCTGTGTAGGTTGTTGTTGTATCGAGTCCAGTACACAATCCAGAAAGTCGGTAAAGGAGCGTTGAATAACCGCAACAGGTTCAGCATCTATATCTCGACTAATAACGCCGTTGATCGTAAGGTTGTCGCATCGGCGGTGGTGGTGGTGGTGGCAGCTGCTGGCCATTTGCATCGTAGTTTGCAGGGAGCGGTGGAGGTGGTGGTTGGTGGTACTGTGGTGGATGAGGTCGGCCGTACGGTAGGCCAGGTGCTTGGTGCGGCTGTGCGTACGCCGTGACTGGTGGCTGGGGATACCACTGGTACGGACCATGGGCAGACTGAGCGTGTGGGGAGTACGAGGGCAGACTGTGAGCACTGTAGTGCAAAGGAGGAGGTGGCTCATAGTATCCACGAGGTCGCGCTTGCTGTTCCTGCGGCCAACCCTGTCCGTGATACCCAGACATCGGAGACAGAGGCACCCCGTTGCCTTGTGGGGCCGTGTAATTTGTTTGTCCGTACACCGCTGGTGGCCTTGCACCGCCAAAACCGCCTGGCTGCGTATAATTCGTTACACCTCCGTAACGCTGCGTCTGCCTCGCAGGAAAAGAAGCCATACCAGGCTTCACAATCACTGGCGCTTGCTGGCCATAGCTACCACGATCTACGCGAGGCGAAGCATCCTGCCGAGCCTGATAGTCAACAAAGTTTCCTCCACGTCCACTTCGATAGCCACGTCCGCTTCGGTATCCACGTTCACCTCGTCCGCCACGTTCTCCTCGTCCGCCACGTTCACCGCGTTCACCGTTAGGTCCAGTGACTTCGTTTCCAGTGACTTGCGCATTACCGCGATTGCGCTTTCTATCACCCCGCTCTAAAGTCGCCTCAGCATCTTCATCCGAACACTCGGTATCATCAGCATCTTCGTCAAAAATTTCTGAAGCATCTGTGCCTATATCCTTGATCATCTCGGGGTCAATATACGTCGTGTGCTCTGTCGCGTAGAAAACAGTGGCATCCTTGGTGGCTGTCTCGGGCATCGAGGCTTCCGTCTCGAACCGAACGAGATACATGGGCATCAGCACTGGACCAAACACCTCATCGACACACCCAAGGACCGTACGATCTTCAAGACACAAGACACTCCCTTCATCGAGCAACTTTGTGTTCGCCGTCGACTTGATGGTCATCATAAGACCGGGCACACTCACGTTCAAGATCGTGCCACACTTGACAATGGGACAGTCCGCGGTCAGCTCGACTCCTGGCGTCCGCACCAGCACAGCCGACACCTCGTTCTCCGTCTTCAACGGGTCGCTCATCTTGTTTTCTTCCTCCGCCAAAGCCGCTTCGATCTCTGCCCGCAATGCAGCAGGGTCCTCGTCCTCTTCGTCACTTAAGCTCTCGTCTGCAGCATCTGCGGCACGCTCCTTGGCATTCTCAATCTCCCGTTGCTCATCCTGCTCCTTCTTGACGTCGTCATCGTCTGAGCTGTCGTCATTATCGTCCGAATCGTTTTCAATGACTGTAGGTTCAGTGGCTAATTGTGGCAGCGTCTCACCCACGCTTGCCGAGCTCTCAAATTGCGCCATCACGGAGTGCAGCTCAGCATCTGCATACTGCGCAGCGACTGCCAAGTCTGACACCGGTTCAAGCCTCAACGCAGTCGTCGGCTGCTGTGCGTCCATGCTAAAGCAGTAGCTCCGTCAGGTCGATCAATGCGAGGAGCTCCAGTCAAAAGTAGTCACAGAAGACACACTACGCAAGCGAATACCGAGGATAAACAGTATTTAACCGCACAAAGCCACGAAGCCACGTAAAAACCGATGACGACGTTACAAGCACTTCAACGTTGCCGGACATCCCATTGGCCAAAACCATCTTCCCAAGATTGTATCCAACTGATCCAATGAGCCATTGAACCATTCTTCGATCTCTCATTCGACAATTTACCTGGTCCGAAAGACATCTCACCAACGGCACGCCTCAGCAGTTTTCAACCCTGATCCTGCCACTCAAAAATGTCATTTGAGCTACCCAAGGTCTCGTACGCATACAACGCGCTGGAGCCGTTTGTGGACACGGACACGATGAACATCCACCACACGAAGCACCACCAGGCTTACGTGAACAACATCAACAAGTACATTGCATCCGACAAGGGCGCTGCTCTCCAGGGCAAGTCGATCCTTGAAGTCGTGCAGTCGGCCACGGAGGCCCCGGTGCGCAACAATGGCGGCGGCCACTACAACCACTCGCTCTTCTGGACGTGGATGACCGCGCCAGGTACGACGAACACGGCCCCGCACGGTGCGCTCAAGACCCGCATCGACGAAGACTTCGGCTCGCTCGACCAGCTCAAGCAAGAGTTTAACGCGGCGGCGGCATCGCGCTTTGGTTCTGGCTGGGCCTGGCTTGGTGTCAAGGCCGACGGGAAGCTAGCGATCACGTCGACGCCTAACCAGGACAATCCGCTGATGCCCAGTGTGGACCAGCCACTCATCCCGATCCTCGGTCTCGATGTGTGGGAGCACGCGTACTATCTCAAGTACCAGAACCGTCGCCCCGAGTACATCTCGGCGTTCTGGAACGTTGCCAACTGGGACAAGGTCGTTGAATATTACGACGACTTCGCATCCAAGGGCAAGCCCGTGGACGTGTAATGTCGAGAGGAAGATGAGGTGGTGCACTGTTGCTGTGAGTGCTGAAGGGGTCTACGAAGGCTGCAGCTGTTTGGTCACAGTGCGGTTTGATGTTGTTTGCTGTCATGACGAAGAAGAAGACGAAGAAGGGTTGTACGTGCATTCTTCCTTTGGAGCCTCGCGCCGCTGCGAGATGGCTTTACTACGCCACTTAAGTTTCAATGGTATCATTCTCTCGTGTTCTCATCATGTTTTTGTTTGCTTGTTGTAAATGATCCAAACTTTGTATTGCCTCCAGGTGAATTCGACACCACCGTTGCTCGATGTAATCATTACAAGAGCAAAGCTGCTCGCGTAGTACGCAGCTCGTCCCGTTTACACGATATAGCGGCCATCCACAAGATCACATCTATCGCTAGCTAGTGACTCCTGTTCTACTTAGCTGTCTGTGATGGGGCAATGTAGAGTCAAGATGTGGGATTCTTAATGCGACGTCCTGGTGACCCAATCGACAAGGAACACGAGGAGTAGCATCGGGCTGTAAACGTCATATTCATGATCAAGTGTGGTAGCTCGACTCTATTTCTTAGGTTGCTGTCTGAGCAAATTACTTATAATAAATATGACGCACTCATATTCAGAATCGTAAATCTCTCCTCAGATTCATGGTAAAATCCCCTCAGTTTGATATCGCACTACACAGTTGGCTGATTTGTAGGTTGACTATTCACCCAATCGACTGCAAAACGACACCTGATGCCAAAATAGGACCATTTACCAGATTCAGGGATATTTGACAGCTTTGTGCATAACATACTCAAACAGCCGCGCCAAACTCGCTCTAGTTTTCGAGTTTATGATTGAAAATAAGTAGTGGGAAATAGGATGGCCTAGAATTCGTGCTAGGTTGAGTATCAGATCAGGAATCACCACCTTGGGATTGTGTGTGCCGATTTGCCGATACAAAAAGATGCTGGTGCCTCTGTCACGGGTAGTAGTGGCAGCTCTACTCGCTGGATGGCTCGGTCGCCGCGGTCTAAAGAAGCAGTCGCTGGATGTCTCAGGCGCGGCAGCTGCCTGTTTCGTAGGCTTTTTCACGCTCGCGTCCGGCTATCGCTTCGGTATAATACCAATACGCACATCCGTCTCAGCGCCGCCTAAGTTTCTCACGGCTATCTTCCTCTTCGTGATCCACTGTAGGTGTCCTGCTCTTGGGCTTCTACTTCTCTGGGAGCAAGCTTACCAAGGTACGGGCTAGTGTCAAACAGCAGCTGGACGCCAATTATAAGCAGGGCGGCCAGCGGTCAGCTCGGCAAGTGCTGGCGTGCAGTCTAGTAGCCACTCTCATTGCCGTCTACTTCGTCGTTCGATTCGGACACGACGACGTGGCTCTTGATTTTGAGAGTGCTCCGGAAAGAAGCTTCCTTTTGGCCAGCTATATTGGACATTACGCCTGCTGTGCGGCTGACACGTGGGCCTCAGAGCTCGGCGTGCTGAGCAAAAGTGAGCCGAGACTTATCACGACGTGGAAAAGCGTGCCGCCTGGTACTAACGGAGGCGTGTCCGTACTGGGCCTCGCTGTATCAGCACTCGGAGGAGCTTTCATCGGAGCTCTGTACTTTGCTATGAGTCTCTTGTCAGGCACGGCCCAGCTTCAAGTCGTCACGCTGGGCGCCATGACCGGTCTCTTTGGCTCCGCGCTTGACTCGGTACTTGGTGCGACGTTGCAAGCGACGCACTATGATCGAACGACGCGCAAGATCTGTGATGAGACACCACGTGTCGAGCATATTTGCGGACGCAAGTGGCTGAGCAACGAGCAGGTGAACGTCGTGTCTACGCTGGTGACTACTGCTGTCAGCGGAGCTCTGGCAACTTATTTGTTCTAAGGTGGAAAAACCAACCTACCGGTGGTACTGAGACGATTGTTCCGCTGTGCCTAGAATCCTCCGAGATGCTACATTAAAGCGTTACTTTAAGAGATAGATTCCCGAACAAGCACATTGATCGAGAAGTAAATTTCGACCATATTTCTGGAATGAACGATGCGTCGTAACGAAATTGTCGTATCATCTTTCCAGGATTTACACCTGAATGCATACTGTACTACCACTGTCGAGCTAAACAGCACAACATCACGCCATCGGAAATAGCTGGTCGATCGAGGGGAGGGGGGGATAACTAATTACTATGATACGAGTGAGGGTACCGAATAAAGCCGAAACGACCAGATTCCTGGCAACTTTGTAGTCTTGTCTTGCTGTACCATCAACAGCGCAGCCAGTAATTCATTTGGTCTTCAAGCTGTAGCCAAGTACACACCGTTGGGGATCGAGCTTTATCTGAATCAATCGACAGCCTTTATAGTAGGAGCCATCGGGTCGGAATATCGAATTCATTCGCTTTGACAAGTGTGAGCTTAGCAATGTATGTGCAACGGGGTGCCTCCTTTACATGATAGTTTGACAAGGTTAGTATCAAGTACGACTATTCTGTTAAGACAAACAGATTATTCTCACAATATTAGCTTAGCCGGTAATTTTGTGATGCAGAAGTAATGCACTGCTCATTGGTTGATACAGAGTAAGGACATTAACTAAATCAAGTCGAGCCACCACTGTAACGGGGCACCCTGAAGCTTGTACTGGTGACAGTACAAGCTACTTATTCTGATGACAGAATAAGGCGGTGCCTCGTAACTTCACGTACACTCGTACGTGCAGAGGAAGACGGTAAGAAGAAGCGAGTACTTGGTTAAGGTAAAAAGTAGAACTGTATTTATAATAGTTAATGTCTGCAATAAATCACTATTTATCTTCATCTAACTATGTCTAAATACAAATGTGTAAATCAATTATCTGCTCACCACTCATTGCGCGCGTCTGTCGTGGCGTGTCTTCGTTGGTTGATATAATGGCCTATATCAACCAATTAGGAACTACTCGTAAGTGCTACAGAATATTTGTCCTTATGACAATATTCTGAGAATATAACTCTCATAGTTATATACTATTAACAATTTCTTATAAATTGTTATGTAACGATTCACCCCGTTACATCACCCCCCCCTAACCATCAGTCACTTTATTGACTGATTGACTAAATGGATACTCGTCCCAAATCATTTGGGACAGGGTTTGCACTTGTTGGTCCGAGTCCACTTTCCAACAATTCATCTCATGGTTAACAAGCCCATGCGATGCGCGAGCAAGGCCGTCGAGAGCGCGTCTGCACGTCTCTGTGCGGACGCCGAAGCAGAAACCACAGCAACTGATGTCTCATCGGTTGCTGAAGCGACCCAGCCTGTGTCACATGGTGATGCAGGCGCTGGTCATGAAGACACTCATGTCTTCACAGAGTATGAGCTCGGTGTCTCGTACTCTCCTGATACGGAAGACGGATCCGTATCGACGGCGATTGAATCCAAGCCGCCTGCCAAGCGTGGCATGGATGATGCTTTGCGTCGTAGCATCTTTGGTTCATCTGATTCATCAGATGAACCATCGCCGAAGCGTAGGCGCTCGAGGTCGCGAGACTCGGGCGCTAACAGTGGTGTCGGTTCTCCTATTGACACCACTTCGCAACGAGGTGCCAGTACTTCTGTCGGCACGTCGCAGGAAGAGCGGGACCGCAATGTGTTGCGTCTCGCTCCAGAAAAGAAGGCATGGATGCCTTCTAAATCCGTCATGGATCACTTGTCGGCGACGACGAGTGATCGTTATCGAACACGATTGTTCGATTCGTCAAGGATCCATCACCTTGACCCCAGTGCGAAAAACTATCGCGCTGAACATGAATTCTTCATCGATGCTTTCTTCAAACATCGATGGTACAGTGGGAATCACAAGCGTGATGGTCCCTCACTACTTCAAGCGTGGAACGCCTACATCCATAACCTTGAGGATGTAGGTCGTGACGCTTGGAACGACAAACTTATCAAAGCTCGTGATAAGTTTAAAAAGAGAACCCCGACAGGTGCACGCTACAAGCTGCATCGTCTGTCAAGGGAGAAAGGATTATCCTGCCTCTCATGGGGAGACTCGTGCCCATGTTGTGTGAACAACTCTGCACGAGCACCTAAGGAGGCTTACCTCCTTACTAGCCCGTGGTGGCGCGTACGTATCTCTACTGAGATGTACGAAGGGATTGACAACCTGAAATCCCTTTACGACCGTGCCGGGAAGACTTTCTCCGGCGGTCCTTCTGCGGCACAGGATGTGCCGCGTCGTACTGCTCAACCAGACCCGGTACGTCGATCATCAGTCGGGAGCGGGGCTCCCAAGTATCCCAGGACGGGGGATAGCCGCGCCACCGGACGAGACAACTCGTCCGACGTCCGTTCACATCGCGGTGGTTCAACAGCTGCTCAACTAGATAGCGCTGGCCACCGCGAGAGTCCTCTAATGGAGGTGGAGGAGGTGGAAAGACGCTCTCCACACGATCATGGGGATCCGTGTGTTCCCGAGAGCTTCTTTGATCGCGTAACGCAAGGGTTACGCAACGATCTCGAACATGAGCGGGACAGGCGTCTCCAAATGGCGGACACTGTCTCGAAGCATCGAGCTGAGTTTGCCTTTGCTCAGCTTGAGAACGAGAGATCTCTGACATGTCTTCGTGACGAGCTAAGGGTAGCTCGTGGGATTATTGATCGGTCTCGGGATGAGATAGCTGCTCTTCAGACCCTTGTTGGTGCCCACCATCGGGAGCACAAGGCTCTCTGCGAGATTCTTGAGCGCAAGGGCGTTCTTCATCGAAGAAGCAGCGTACTGATGGTACGGCTTAAGCCGACCAACGTAAAACGTGGGATGCGTTCGCATCTTACGTGGTAACTCGATCGTGTATGCATTGCCTAGGCGGTGCAATACACGAAATGGGCCGATGTACTTGGGTAGTAGTTTACTGCTACCCAAGTTAGTCACTACATGCTTTGGTAGATTAACCGTAGACAGTAGGACTAAGTCACCTTTATTAAATAAAAGAGTGTTTGCCCTTCCATTCTTGTCTGCGTTTTGCTTTTGCTTATCCACCGCTTCGGCGATGGAGTCTTGTACAAAACGGACTATCGTTTCACGAGCCAGTATGAACTCATCTGCTGACTCGTTAGCTTCAGTGCGCTGTGAGTGCACTGCAGCGACATCAATCGTTTCTTCAGTGAGGGATTCCTCGCTTCACTGGCATCATCTTCTTCGATATCGATGTTGTCGATATCGGCATCAAACGCAATGACCTCTTCGTCAGAGCGTGATGAGCGTGAACCAAATCGGTTTTTGCTCGCGCGAGTCCCTCCCCCCTTAAACCAGAGTTACACTCTATTAAGGTGGGTACGCGCGGATGGCGTAAGCCATTCACGTAAAACGGTGTATGGGTCGTGGACGCATGCACCGAGTTGTTAATGGCAAACTCTACCATTGGCAAAAACTCACTCCAACTCTTAAAGGAGTGTACGTATCCTCGAAGTATCTCTTCAAGGACACGATTGGCACGTTCGGTCTGACCATCTGACTCTGGATGATCAGATGTCGACATCTTCAAGCGCGTTCCGAGTGATTTGAACACGGAAAGCCAGAAATCAGCAGTGAATCGTGGATCTCTGTCTGATACGAGTTCACGGGGCAACCCATGAAGTCGGAAGATGGTGTCAATAAAGACACAAGCACATCCACTTGCCGTGATTGTCTCTGGTACAGCCACAAGGTGTACCATTTTGCTGAATCTGTCAACAAATACGAGAATACCCGTATTCCCGCATGCGTCTTTGGTTAACCCGAAGACAAAATCCATTGAGATGGATTCCCAGCACTCAGCCGGAACTGGTAGAGGCTGTAAAGGTGCACGCAGTGAAGGACTTGACTTCACTCGTTGACAGACTTCGCATGTGCGAACATACTTTCGCACAAACTGATACTGGCGGGGCCAGTAAAAGTCTCGACTCACCGTGAGATATGTTTTGTCCCGGCCACGATGTCCTCCTATAGGAGCATCGTGATACTCGAACATGATCCGCAAACGCAGATCAGTATCATCTGGAATGACAACACGTGGTGTGTCACCAGAAACGGCTGTATAATACAGTAAACCGTTACGAGTAGTGTATCGATCTGATGCAGATCGATACGCAGGCGACAATCGTTTCAACGATTCTCGAGATGGTTGGGAGAGATGTGTCAACAACTTCACAATCTCACCATCTTGGGCGTACGCCCGCCTCACATCATCATACAACGTTGTGGGACTGAGGACGTCATAACCGCAACAGTGACTGTCTCACTGTTGGGTTTCACGACTGGTTCAAAGTCGGGACGACGTGAGAGTCCATCAGCGACGACACTAAGTCGTCCTGGTTTGTACTCGACCGTAAAGCTGTATTCTGCAAAGAATGACAACCACCGCGCCATTCGTTGTGAAAGGTGCGGGCTGTTCACTGCCGTGCGTAATGACGCATGGTCAGTGTAAACAACGAAGGGTCTATCTCCTAATAGATAGACTCTGAACTTCGCGAGTGCATACTTCATGGCAAGGAGTTCCTTGTCATGCACTGGATAGTTCCGCTCAGCTGGTTGCAGCTGACGCGACTGATAGCAGACGACGCGTTCAACGCCTTCTAGGTCGTACTGCATTAATGCACAGCCGATTGCAAAATCGCTGGCATCACAGACCACATGAAATGGCCTGTCGTGATCGGCTATTGCTAGGACTGAGGATTGTATCAAGCTCTGCTTGATACCATCAAAGGAGCGCTGGCATTCAGCGCTCCATAACCACCTCTCGTTCTTTTTCAACAAACGAGAGAGGTGCACAGTCATCTCGGCGTAATTGCGTGAATACTTATGCAAATACGCCGCTAGCCCAAGGAATTTTCGAAGAACTTTGACATCAACCGGCACAGGCC